ATAGTCACGGGACATGGAGTATACTGTGGGAGTGGAGTCAAGGGAATTGTAATAGATATGTATGCTACAGAGGGGGAGTGGGACAGCGGATTGGGGGAGGGGGTTGTCACTTTGAGGGGTAAAAAGTGTAACTATTGCACTGTGTTGTACAGCTGAAACTAATTTTTAAAAAATGTTTATTTCACAATAAAAAAAAAATTCCTTTCCCAAGTTTTACTGGAATCTAGGAAGATATATACTATAAGTTGGCCATTTTCAAATGGAAGCCTACATAACACTTCATATGTAAGTTCTCATTGCATGTATTTTTTTAACCTTGTATTACAATTATTTACGCACCCGTCTTACCTCCCCCTAAGGTTGCAAATGTGGGTGTCTTTGGAGAGGAGTGGTTAAGAACTGAGGGATTAAGACACAACAGATCCATGTACACTTATAAAAAAATAAAAAACAAAACAAGAGGCATATATACTAACTGCTGAAAATTAGGATTAAACAAAGTGTAATTAGAACAGGAGAGGAAACACACTCTAGATGTTGAACCGGCTCTTGCAGTCATATAAACACTGCTGTTAGAATTGATACTATGGAGAATATCGATCTAGTCGCGTAGTTTTAAAAGTGTGTTCCCTAGAACCTACGATCCACAGCTTATGCTCCTAACCAAAGCTGGGCCAATGGTTTCTATCCTATGACTTGGAGTGCTTTCTGAACTTGGGATCCAGGAGAGTCAAATCAGGGTCCCTCCCAAAAAATGAAGATGTTAAGGCATATCTCTAGAATTTGTCCTTCTTGAAGGACCAAGTTTTCTATTAAATGAAAAAAGCTAACCTAAAATGAGAGAGAAGAACAAAGCTAATATGGGGGAGAGTGAGGGGGAATTGACCAAAAAACAAAGATAAGACGAAGATATATGAATACTGTTCAAGTTTCTAGTTCCAATTTTTAAAAGTTGAAATCTCATGAAGTTCAAGAGTCTAGGCTTACCCAGGCCAGGCCATAGATCAACAAAAAAGAACAAAATCTTTTTGACCAACCTTTCCTAGGTAGATCAATATTTGAATATTTGACTATCCTTTCTAGGTAGTTATCGACTTACTGAACTGTCACAGGTATGAAAAAAGCAGGTAATCAGCTATGATGTTAAGAGTAGAGTAATAGTCTTAGCAGCAGTTGTCACAGTAGCAGTTGTACTGTAACCATGCCTACCGTTTATTGTGTGTATGATGTATATAAATCACTGCTATCTTTTACAAGGTCCCTAACAAGGAAGCTATTACTGCCCCTTTTGTAGGTATGATAAAAGGCTCAGAGAGGTTAAATGTTTTGCACAATGTTGGCCAGCTAGTAAGCAGTAGAACTGGGATTGACACCTCTATCTTGTCTGGCTATGTTTTTTTAACACTCTACCATACTGCCTCTCATCAAATAACTGGGATCCAATATGACCTTTGGTCTTGACTGGGAAGTAACTATATAATTAATGACTGAATGGGACAAAAACTTTAACAGTATATTTACTATATATTAAAAGTATTTTAACAATATGTTTTCTATTTTCTAAGTAAATTAAATAGAGCACTAGCATATATCCTAAAAAAGGATTAAAAAATTTATATGGTGTTTGCTTAATAGTTAAATATTTCCAGGTCCACGGCATTAAAGGAACAAACAAAACCACATGGACAAGAAGCTTCAGGGACAGGCCTGAGCAGGAATCTTCACAGTATGGGGTGAAAATCCCAGACAGTTTCTTCTGCTCCAATACCACCACACTCTGTCATTATATCACAATAAGGTGGCAGTAGATAAAAACTGCTGGGGAAGCAAATATAATCTTTTTGAAGGACAACAGTGGCATTCAACATATTATTGGGTTGTCGGAAAAGTCATGACGTTTTTTTTTTATGTTTTTCGTTGCAAAAATGCGTCATGACTTTTCCGACAACCCAATATTTGTACAGGAAAAAAAAAGAGAAAACAAGGTCAAGAAAATAAAATGGTCAGAAGAAAATCCCCAAATAAACCAGTTGTGCATATTAGTAAAACTTGGTTTCAAACAATTAACTTACTTTCGAAGTTCAGCATTCTGTTTTTCCAAGCTCATTTTCATTTCCATGAGATGATTATTTTCTTGTTTTAACTGCTTTTCTGACATTTTTAGTGTGTTAACTTGCTGTGTTTGCATCTTCAAGTCATTTTGTGTGAGGCAGCGCTTCTGAGTTTCCTGCTCTATTTTTAATGTCAGGTTTCTAACCTACAAAATAAATTGCATACTTGGTATATAAGTAAGTTATTTTGATTTTTCTTATCAATGAAGCTGGCAGCGTATTCGATGATGTGAAACACATTTTTGCCCTTAGGCAGTTAATTCATTTCACAACAAAATTTGGTCCTTATGGAAAAAATAACTTTAAACTTTTTCAAATTATGATTCATTTAGTATATCATCCAAATTCAGTAAAATTAAAAGGTTATGGACTATTATAAGAAAAATTTTAATTGTGAAAACCATCATTGTACCTTTAGAAATAAACCTAGTTTATTATTAATTCATCAGTCTATTATTATTTGTTAGTAAACATACTTACATCCTCATTTAGCACATCTTTTTGTTTAAGGAGTTCATTTATCTTCTGCTGTGACTGTTTGAGGTCACAGTCAAATATAGAGCATCTTTTCTCAGCTTCTAGCAACAGGTTCTCCACTTTCTGCTTTAAAGTCCTTTCCTCCATGAGCTTTTTTTCCATTTCTAGTGCCACAAAAATGGACATAACCATGAATTCACAAACAAAAGAAACATATCAAATACACGACATTGTGCTAAAAATTACAGTAAATTGATGCTGCCTTAAAAATTTTAATCTCCAATTTAATATTTTCATCACTCCTCTTAATATATTTGAAATGTCAACAATTTTATGCTTCAAAATTAGATGTTTCATTTACAGGGTATAAAAATCGACTATACTCTGCAATATTACAACCATACTAAAGGGCGTAAAATAATCCTGCCTTTACTTACGGTTCTAAGAGATACTTGTATCTTTTAAATAAAGACTTCTTTTATTTTCCTGCTACTCTGTGCCTCTCAGCATTACTCTTCATATCTTAAAACATTCAGGTAGACTCTATGGCTGTTTCTATTATTAAGAATATTACTATGTAGAGGATGAAAATCATGTTTTAGGGAGGTGATAAAGGACAGGGCTCTGGAACCAAACTTCCAGAATTTAAACCCTGGCTCTGACACTTCCTAAGTATTTGGCTGGTCAAGTTAATTAACCTCTCTGAGGCTCAGTTTTCTTATCTCTAGAATGGTGGAAACAGTACCTATGAAAGGTTTGAGTTAATGTATGTATAGCACTTAAATGGCAAGCACTTGATAAGAGCTTACTATTAAAAAGGGATTTTTATGGCCTAAGAAAAAGTTCATTATATTTTTTAAAATAAAAAAAGCAAAACAGTATAGAAAATTGAGAAAATATACAAGTATCATTCTGATTACTAGGACTGTAGTTAATCTTTACTTACTTCTTTATACTTTCCTGTATTTTCTAAATGGTTTGCAATTGTTTTATTAAGCAGAAAAGCTTTTAAAAGCCTTTTTAATCTCAAAGTGAAGAGCAGGCAGAGTTTATGTCTAATCAAGTGATTCCACATTGACTGTAAGTTATTAGAGAATTACCTTTTGATATTTCAATTAGGAAATCTATTCAAATCCAACCAGGTTCCTCTGTTCCTTCATAACTAATGTTCAACATCAAATTATCATTTACTACAAAGTTATATTAAGTAAAAATTACATCTATGAATTTTCAGTTTTTAATGAACTATCTTCAAAAGTATGGGAAAACGAAACTATTTTTTACATTCTATTAATAACAGCTAGCATTTCTAAGCACTTTTCATGTATCACTGCATTTGGTTTTCACAACAACCTAATATGTACTATAATTGTCCCTTTATAGGAAACGAGGCACAAGAAGTTTAAGTAACTAGACCAGGCCACATAACTAGTAATTCAGATGGTGAAGTCACATTCTCAATCAAAGGAGGCAATGATATGCAGTCTAAAGACCAAAGGCTTGAGACCCAGATCCGAGCACCACCTACAGTATTCAAGTTTTGTGTACTCATAAAGCACAAAAGCCATCATACATCTCATGTTAGTGTTATAAAAAGGAGTTTGAGAAAATGGTACATATTATTATACTGAATTGGTTCATTCTTATCAGCTCAAAAAATAATCTATGAACAAATGGACTCATTTTTAAAAACCAATCACCCTAATGTGGACACAGAAAATAGAAAGAGGCATGAGTGAACTTACTGAGGTGGTAAAAAGATAGGTTCTTTCTATACCCTGTTTTGGGGTGATGGTTACACATGTACACCACAAATGTGAAAACTATTAGCATTTTATTACACCTAAATTATACCTCAAAGGAAATTCCACTGTGTGGCCACAGACAAGGAAATGTGGCCCACTAACTTCATCTTTTCTAATTAGACTTTTCTAAATAAAGCACTCATTTCATCTTTCTTTTTTTTTCCAGCTGAGCCATCCTGCCACTTGTTGGCAGCTCAGCTCGGGCCGGGAATCGAACCGGCGACCCTGTCGCTCAGAGGTTGCACTCTTGAGCGAGTTCTTAACCAACTGAGCCACTCAGCCGTTCCCTCATTTAATCTTTTTATCATCCTGAATTAGTGCCTTAAACTAAAACAATATTAACAAAAATCTCCAATTTTAATTACATTCAATAATTAAAAGCCTATTTTTTGCTAAGTCATTCATAAATGCTACACTTCAATAGGAAATAAAATTTATTTAAGAGTTTTATGAATCTTTCACAAGAATACTTTATTGATTTTCTTTGGAATTCCAAATTCATCATAATTATAAACAGACAGTTTGAAAAACAATTATCCTAAGACAATTCCAAGATACAGGCTGGTTTGTGGAGAAGGTAACTTTGTTATCTTAATCCTCCATTCATTAATATTGTATGGCTTTGACCAAATCTAGCTGGTATCTTCATCATGCCAGAGCTCGAAATATTCAATGAGCTTCTATTCTAGTTAAGTCAGCTACTATTTTTAAATCTTTATCTTGCAGAAAGTGGCAGGAATTTTGTAACACAAGTTGGTGAAATGTCAAACTAAATATTACAAAAGAGCATATCCCCCAAATCTGAGTAGACAAATCTAGAAATTCATGCTTGGTATGCCTGTTAGTACTGATATCACCAAAATAATTTCTCTCTGATCTAAAATATTTGGTTGAATAATTTTGTGTTTGAGCCTTACTATCTTAGAAGTGATTGCTGCCATAAAGAATATATATGTAGTGCTTCTGTAATAGTGTTTTCTCTCCAGTATTTGACCATAAAATATAAACAAATATTCAAAAGCAACGAATTAAATACAGAATTCTTAGTAAAATGCTGCTGGAAAACCTTATAAAAATGCATACCTTTCATGGCTTCTGATTTAGCTTCTTCAATGGATTCATAAATCTTATTTTTATCTGCCAGTCGTGCTTTTGTAGCTTTATGTTCAGCTTCTTCTTGTTCTAAGCTCTGCTGTATAACTTTTAGTTGGTATGTCATATCTATTTCCATGTTGTTCTTTTCCTATTGAAGATTAAAATGGCAGCTATCAACAAAAAAGACTGGCTCACAATTTCAAAAACTTAAAAGTTTTTTCTATAGACTTACTAAGGTTGTTCAATACTCCCCTCCCCCTCTTCAAACTTCTTGTAAAAGTAATCTAGGTGCTCTACCTGTCCTCTTCCCACACTGTACCCATCTCCCACACCTCCACTGTACCGTTTTGAGATCTGTATTGAGATCGTTTGATTTCAGTAAAGTGACCAATGATATTCTCAACGAATTCAACACTTTCCAGTCTTTATCTCATTTGAACTCACCATTGCCCTTGAAACTATTTCCTTGACCTATACTGACACTGAACTCACCTGACTCCCCCATCCTGCTCTCATCTTCTCTGTTCCTTGTGAAGTTTTCCCCCATCTACCCACTAAATGTTGGTGTTCTCTGGAGGTAGTGTTCTTTATCCACAGTGCTTCTCGTCTTCCTGTATCATTATTTCTCAAACTTTAAAAATATGCCTAATGTATCCCTTTGTGATATCTAAAAAAAAACCCCAAAACTCAGTATCTCTACCATTACCCCTTATTTTCCACATAGGAGATATGTTGTAAGTTAAGAATCTTTAGTAATAGAAGTCAGTCTATTTTCTATATATCTTCAAAGATTTTCTAATTCTTTGTTTTCTATAGTTTGTATCATAAATATAGATATTTCTTATGTATTTCAAGTAAAATATGACTTTTTCAAACTAACAATCCACCTACAGACTAATCTACTCAACCATGAGAAACCAATGCTCTAAACAATCTGTTCCCAGATGGGCTCTCCCATTCACATGGTTTCAGCTACTTCTATACCGACGACTCTCAAATATTTCTAGCTTCTATTGCCATAACTTACGGCTTTGTAAACATCCTAAGTTGGCTGTTTCACAGGTTCCACAAACTTAGGACAAAAATGGATTTATCACTGTTTCCTCTAAAGGAGCTTTTCCTTTATTAAATAATGGCACGACTATGTATCTTGTCACAAACTAGGAACCTGGAACTCATCCTTGAGTACTATTCACCTGCCACATCTAATCAATTACTAATTGCTGCAAAACATTCCTCCTCTAAACATTTCTCAGATTCATCCTTATTTTCCATCCTTTTAACTACTGCACTAGTTAAGTCTCCGTTACTTGAATGCTAAAAGAAGTCTCCCTACCGCTTATCTTGTCCTCCTCAAATCTATTCTCCACAAGGTACGCAGTGATCTATTGTAAATGTACCTCTAATAAGGCGATCCAATTTAAAGCCCTTCAGTGAGTAGGCAGTCCATTACTTACAGAAACTTAGCTTCCTAACAGTGTATTCAAAATCTTGCAGGATATAGCTCATCCTAGCTCTGCAGCCTCACTCTGGCCACTGAACTCTCACTCTCACAGGAGGACCATATTGGCCTACCACTTTTGTAAACTTTCATTGGAACATAGCCCATAGCCACCCCAATTGCTTGACATATTGCAACAGAGACTGTAAGGCCTGCAAAGCCTAAAATATGTACGGTCTTTCCTTTAAAAGATTAAAATTTGTTGACCCTTGCTCTATATTCCAGGAATATTCAATAGCTCGTACTTAAATAAGCCAACTACACCCGTTTTATTTTCCATCCTCTGCGCCTTTGCTCATGCTGTCCTCCCCAAGTCAAAAATGTGCCTTCATCCTGTCATAACCAATCCCGCTCTGTCAGACTAGGGATACACATATCCTGTGCACCTACCCATTATACTCTCGTCCGTACATCTAGCATTCTATTTACTACACTGCATTAGAATTATCTGTGATTTATTATCATTTTAGAAATTACCCATTAGAGTAATTTCTGCATCCAGACATTATTCAGTGAGACTGCATCCTGGTATTTCTACCACAGATGACACACTAAGTACTTAAATGAATAAGTGAATGAAATAAAATATTAACTTCACAGAGCCTAGAAATTATCCCTAGCTTACAATATTTTTAAAGAAAAACTTCTAAATGCCAAAAGTCATAACTTTACATCATTTTTAAGACATGTCACAGTGAAAATTTGAGTTTTCCTTGGATCCCTAGCGAGAAGCATCTTCACTATATACTCCAAGACAGTGTCCCCCCTTTA